TCTTAAAATCCTGCAGTAGGTCATATTACTAATACATAAAACTTAAACATGCTTCACTCAAGGCACCTAAAGCTTTTGCTGATCAAGCTCTTGCCAATCTCTCTAGCTTTATCTCTCAGTACTTTTTCACACTTTGACTTTAAATTTCACAAAATGGATGTACTCTTATAACTCAATGTTTAAGACTCTAGAGCCCTCCCTAAATTCAGAGCCCTACTAATCCTCCTAAGAAGACTTTTCTCCTTTCTCTTCCCATTCTTTCCATTCATTTTTCTATAATAAAAAATAGTCAGTTTGTTATATATATGCTTTCTCAATAGATTGTGACTTCCTATGGGAAAATGATTCATTGACTTCAGCTTTCTCATGTATTTAAATAAATAGCCAATGAGTATACAAACAAATGAGTCCAGGACAAGGATGGACTTACAGAATGGAGTGCTCTAAGTGATACTTATTTGCTTCATGGTATTTAGAAGTCAGAAATCTCTTACCTGTTTCTTGAGTTTTTATATTCTGTAGCTCTAACCGATGTATTTTCTGAAGTTCCTTGATCTTTTCCTCATGATTAGAAATAAGCTCTTCTTTAAGACTGCTAAGAGCTTTATCTTTTTCATTTTCCATATATTCACGAACCTGATCCACATGAGTTGAATAAACCAGAGAAAGACATATGCGCTGGGCTTCCATCTGCAGCCTTAAATCATCCTTTAAGTGCATGTATATAAACATCAGAACATTTTACAATGACAAATAATTTAATTTCTATTTTTTCCATAAACTGACTACTAGGAGGTAAATATATAAAATTATATTTTAAAAAGTCATTAAGAAAACTGAAGTTTAATTTTTTCACATTCTTCATGTATTACATTGATATACTTGTCTTTTTCAAGGAAAGTAGCATAATTTTTTATTATTTCAATTTTATGGTAAATTTTCTTATTTGGTGCTAGTTCAGCTCATTTAAAATTTTTGTTTTAACATATTTTAAATGTAGAGCAATGAAAGAATTATGTAATAAATACCAAAGTACTCACAACCTAAATTTACATATTCCAACATTTTATCTTATTATATATTCCCCTTGTTCCAACATATTTCTATGAATAAGAAAACATTATAGATATAATTTAATCCACTATGCTCCCCATTACTCCATTTTCACAGGTATCCATTATCACAAATTTGGTACATGTCTAGACCATTTTCTATACTATCACTTCTCAATGTATATGGAAATAATGACAGCACTTGTATGCACACACATGAGAAGAGAGAGGGAGGGAGGGGAGAAGAGAGGGACAGAGAGAGAGAAAAAGTGCTCTTGACAGAGTCTCATCATACCACAATCCCCTTTCCTAAGCCTTCCAGCTCTGCAGTACCCTGGATGCTAGAGCACATGCCTGCCCTGTATCCTTTCAGGCTGACCTGGGCATCTGAACCGATGGTTAGCCAAATGGTTTCCAGCCTTGCAGAGTACTGCATTACCAGTACAACACAGCAGCTGGGCCATATATTATGTATTTTTAAGGATTTACTCATTCATTCAAAAAACGTATTAAATGCTTACCTTTTGAGATGTTATTAGGGATACAATAGAGTCCCTGTCTCATGGGCTGACTGATACGCTAGCAGTTCCTCTTATAGTTTCTAAGCTTCAGTGTCTCTTTCAATTTCAAGAACTGCCTTCTATTTCAGACACTTCAATATACAACCTCTTTCAGCATCAATAATCAATGTTAATCAATATCTATAATATTCTTGTCACTCTTCTCCATTCTTTCCATCTCAACACTGATAAGACTTCTACAGTGAAATTTCTCCTTCTGCCCAAACTCATTAAACATATAAAAATAATCTGGAATTGTACTTGAAAATTATTCATTTGTTTCCTTGCTATTAAAAAAACAAACCTCTCAACAGTCACATTTATTTTTGTTTCAGTGAGAGATATCTGTTCTCATTATTAAGTTTAGTACTGAAAGAAGTAATTTTTGCAGTCCCTGTATTATTTATTTGAAGAGGTTTTTGCTAACGGGCGTGTACGCTTGCCAGAAAGACAGAGAGAGACAGAGAGACAGAAAGTGAGAAATCACCCCCGAGGGGGGATGGCCATGCTGTAATCCCTTCTCCTCCATTCTCTTCTCGGGATCTTGGGCATGCATGCACACACACGCACTTGGCATGAGTTTAAGCCATTGGGTCTGGGACTCGACTGCAGTCGACTACATGGGAGTCCAGCAATGTAGCCATTACACTATCTGCTGGTCCCATCAGTACCTGTATTATTAGGTCACCAGGAAAGTCATGATGTATTTTTCTGTTTTTCTATGCAAAAATGCTTCATGACTTTCCTGACGACCCAGTATTTCAAGCACTGTTAGGCTACTCTAAAGCGTTACTGTGGTGTAAGTCACTCCTTAATTTTTCCGTGAGCTTCCCTCCACACATACCACCTTACTCTCCCCATCACCCCCATAAGGGATTTGTCTTGGTAATGAGTAGCCAGGGGCAGTTTACAGGCTTGCTTTCTTTTACTTTATATAGTAAATACCAAAGAGAGGGGATCTGAATGCCACTGGAAGCATCTTTAGTAGAGAAAATCAAAATTTTACTAAGAAAATTTAACCATTTTTGACAGCTGAGCTTCGAATTGTAGTCCTCCCAATAACGCTTTCTAAAATGTCAAATGTCAGCTAACATTTTTTAGGAGTAATTACTAAATGTTACAGTTTTAACACAATTCCAGTTATTTAACCAGCATTATTAGTTAAGCAATTTGAATCTGACTCTACTTAGGTTATTAAATATGTAAAATATTTCTACATTTAATGTAAGACCTTAAATATGAATATGAATCATTAGGAAAAAAAACAAACAAAAACAAAACAAAACAAAACAAAAAACAAACCTTGTCAGAAGCTTCCTACTAAGAATAAAATGTAAGCATCTTGGTGCCAGCAGGTGGCATAGCGGTTAAGAACCTGAACTCCCACAAACTTGATTGCAATTTGGGTTAGAGTCTTGGACCTAGCAGCTTGCTTTCTCACTTTCTCTCTCTCTGGTGAGCGCACCTGCCCTGTAGCAAAATTTTTAAAATAAATTAATTAAATAAATAATTCTGAAAAATAAAGAAAGAACCAAGCATTTTATGAAGGCTCTGGAAGGTCTGGATTCTTCTTTCTTCTTCAAACTTTCTTCCATTCCCTTCTCTCAAACTACACAGACTTTCACTCAACTCCTTAAACTTACCCATGTTTTTTCAATGGCTCTAATTTTCATGTGGCAATCTGCTCGTCATTCATCTCAGTTCAAACATCAGTTTCCCCAAGAGACTTTTCCTGACCTCTATATCTAAAGCTGCCGTCATCACTGTCACCTATCATTCTCTATCACATTATTTCTATATAGACTTTTATTTTATGAGAGCACAAAAGAGGAAAAGACGGATAGTAGGAGAAGGAAAGAGAATGAAAAGGGGTGGGGAGGGTGGGGATGGAGAGAGCATTTTTGATAGGTTCCTGTTGTGCTACCCTAGGCTCTGAGGCATCTAGAATTATAGGCATGCACTGTCATGCCCAGCATACTCGGACTGGTCCAGGATTCCAACTGGGGACTTCCAAGAGGCTCCAGCATTATGCAGCGGCACTCTACTGGCTACATTATGTGGCTGGGCTATCTTCACAGAACTTATCACTATTTCTAACTACCCAAGTTTCCTCATTTATTGCCTGTCTCACTCACTAGAATATATGCTCTTTGAGACCAAAACTTCCTTTCTTTGTTTTTCACCATATTACTCATTCTCTTACACCTGACAAGAGACTCAATATAATATCTGTCACATATATGAAGAAACACATAAAACTTTAGTTAGCACAACTGTATTGCAGATACTCCACAGAATTTTCCTATTATTTCTAATACTAGTATCTGGCAAATATTAAATGTCAGGATTAAGCTAGTATTATTTGTTACATGCATTCTTTAACTCTTAAAATGTATTTAGAGTTAATATTCCCCCTCTCTTTAAGTATAACAAAACTCTGAGAAAACTCTAGGACTTAAATAAAGTTCTTTTTCTCCAGAAATATGTAATTTCCTAACTATGGGACAATTATATAGAGTATAGAAAAGCTTCAGAGTTCATTGAAAGTTGTGAAAGCTAGATAATACCAGTACTAAATAAAAGCTCCAAAACTAGTATTTAGGATTACAACAAACTAATAAAAGATACAATTAATAAATTTCTAAACTGAGATTGTCAACAATATTATTAAAATTCCTCTAAAAAATAAAACGTGAAGCCACTGGACCAGCCTGTGGCACAGTAGTTAAGGCAGCTGGATCCCACATGGCCAGTTTTGTAGTTCAAGTCCCAGATCCACCGGCCTGAGAAACATGCAGGTACATGTGCATGAGTGCCTAAAATCCTGATGGGAGAGATGGAGTGGAGGGACTGTGGTGTGACCATTCCCCATGGGGAGTGTTTTTTCACTTTCCCACTCTCTCTCTCTTTCCCCAGTGAATACATACACCCTCTAGAAAATTTTTTAAAAAACCTTTTTTTCCCTTAAATGTGAAACCATTAGGATGTATTATTTCCTGAGCAGAATATACAGCGTGAATTAACTGAAAGAGGGTTAACATGTTTAAGAAAGTAGAGTTAATATAAATGATAAATAATCATTGTTCGAAATGAGAATGACTTTATAGGGTCACTATCATTCTCTTGTAAGGATATGAATTTATGTTTTATGAAGTTAAAAGCATTTTTTAGTATGAAATGTACATTTTCATTATTCTTTACCATAATAAATAAGTTAACATACCTGCTCTGACTTAAGTACACTAAGTTCCTGCT